AAATGTAGCATATTTACAAATGTTGTAAATTACTCTATGTGAAAGGTATTGTTAATTTTAATTTACATTTCTTAGCATGTTTTAAGTGATACGATTCTTAAATTTTCAGATTTTCACAAATTTAAAAAAGGAAGAATGAATGAACTGCTACAGAAATAGCCAAGGTGGACTGACTATCCATGGTGTGTTTTGAGTAGTTCACTGAACAACAGGAAAAGGCCCATAATTTAGAGATGATATCAGTGATAGACTAACTTTCCTATAAAAGTAAATGTGGAAAAGTGTCAGAACAGACAAGAAGGGAGAAAAGTAGAAGACTTGAGAACAGCAGAAATTAAAAATGATGGTAGCAACAGTTGAATTTACTTTTTTTGAAGCAGCAGTCCAGTTTTTTAACTTATTTCTTTGTCTTAAAGTAGAGCACATAAGGTTGTTATGAGAATTGTGCTTGATAATTATTATCTTCCCCTTCCCTAGACTAATATCATATAATAGCTAAGAAGGAAGTAAGGAACAGGCATAAGCAGTAGATCAGTAAGGCTTACTGTCCTGGGCCAGCCGAGTGGCGTGTTGGTTAAGAACTGGCTTGGGACGCCAGAGGGCCCCAGTTCGGATCCCACATATGAGGGCCCAGTGACACTGCCCTCTACAGGTAAGATGCTGAACAACAGCTCAACCTGGAGCTGGGCTGCCCCAACAGCGTAGGCTGCAGCCCCCTGATGCAGTGGGTTGCCATGGGCTACCGTGTGTAGCCAGCAGCCCCAGTGAGCGGCCAGCAGCCCCAGTGAGCAGCCAATAGCTGCCGTGAGTAGCTGTTCAGAAGCCGGTGACTCATCTGCCTCGCCCGGGAAGAGCGCCATATGGTGCCAACTTGGGCCAATGAAGTAACGTCCTCCACAACTAGAGTGAAGAACAAAATGACAGCAACTTGTTTGTTCCCCTTCCCCCAATTCCCCAGTGCTGTTCCCATCCCCCAATTCCCCAATAAAAATCTTTAAAAAAAAAAAATCCATGGGGAATAGTAAAAGTAAAGACAGATTTCCAGGATAGGTGCTTGAGGCTAATTTGGATCTTAAATTGAGCAGAGAATGAATGTGAAATGTTTCATAGTATTAAGCTCCCATGTGTAACAGAAAGTAAAGCCAAGAGAATGTATTTCCAGAAGCTCTCTTAAAGTTATATGAGAGAACAAAAAGTAGTAAGTTAATTTGGTCATAGACAAGTTAAGAAAGTATATTTGAAAAAGAAAACAACAATTATATATATATATATATATATGTATATATATATATATATACATATACATATATATATACATATATATATATATTATTTTATTTTATTTTTTTTTAGAAATTTTTATTGGGGAACAGTGTGCTTTTCCAGGACCCATCAGCTCCAAGTCCACTAGTTGTCTTCAATCTAGTTGTGAAGAGCACAGCTCCATGGCCTATGGCAACCTTGGTGTTAGGAGCCTGCGCTTTAACCACCTGAGCTAAGCGGCCACCCCAAAACAATTATATTTTTGAGATGATGAACTCTAAGCTATCAGTTATAGAACACAGGAAGAGATGACGCGTGTCATTGATGAATTATGCTTGTGGCCAGGAAAGCTAATGAAAAGCAACAATGTCATTCTGTATGAAACTTTGATATCTAAACCTTGAATTTTGCCTGTAATTCTCAATGACATACTTTTTAAGAAAGATATGAGGGTAGGGCAAGGCCCTGAGAAAAGCAGCTGGCATGATCAAGGAGATAGATGATTCGAAAGATTAAGACCTTTCCTTTTTGAAAGATTAAGACTCAGAGGAAATACGAGAGAAGTAAAAAAAATGAGAATAGGGTTTTCTCTATTGGTCTTATAATCCTGTAGCCAAAGAATGTACCATGAAGCTTCAGAGAGAACATCACAGGCTAAGCAAAAATTCTTGCTTCATCCATTGGGTAGATAGACATGGAAGAAATTTTTACCTTGAAAAAATTTACGGTCCTAAACTTTTTCGTATAGCATTAGGTCTTTGAACCCTGTGCCTTGTTTTAGGTTCTCTAAGAACCTAAAGAACTTTAAAAAATTTTTAAAAACATTGACTTTAGAGAACACTACAAAATACCTAGAAACCCAAGCTCAAGGATGGACTAGGAATCCAATTCAGCTTGCTGCGTGTTTTGTAGGGTCCTTGAGCTAAGACTTGTTTACATTTTTAAATGATTGCAAAAAAAATTTTAAAAAGAGTAATATTTAGTGGTGAGTGAAAATCAAATTTCAGTGCCCATAAATAAAGTTTTATTGGGCTATAGCTGTGCTCATGCTTACCTACTATCTATGGCTGCTTTCGCACTGCAGTAGCAAAGCCTAAAATATTTTCTCCCTAGCCCTTTAAGAAAAACGTTTGCCAACCCCTGGAATAGACTAACAAACATTAGAGTTGTTTTTCCAGGTAAAGTAAAGATTGTAGTGACTAGAGTAAAAATGTTAAGTGTATGAAGAGAGTATATAAATGGTACTAAGCAGCATTTTACTTTTTGTCATGGTGCCTCCTGTGACTATTTAAATGTAATTAAAATTAAATAAAAATTTAAATTCAGTTCTTCAACCACACTAACCACCCAATTGCTATGTGTGGCTAGTGGCTACTGTATTTGACAGTGCAGATAATGCATATTCCCTTCATTGCTTCAAGTTCTATTGGACATCGCTGCATAATAATAAATACTTATGTAGTACTTTGTGCCAGGCACTGTTCTTGAGTTTTCTCAAAAACCACATGAAGCAGGGATTAGTATTACCTCCATTCTACAAATGAGAAGACCAAGGCACAGCAAAGTGAAGAAACTTGCCCAGGGTCACACAACTAGTAAATGTCAAGAGTCAGGGTTGAAACCCAGGCAGCCTAGCTCAGAGTTCCTGGTCTTAATCAGTTTGTACTGAACACAGTTGAGAGTCAGGAATATGCTTAATTATAGCACATGGGATTTAGCTTATGTGGTGAAAATGTGGCTTTACAGATTTTGAAACTCAATACCTGGAAAGCTGTGTTGAATATAATAGAGACATTACTTTCTAGAAAGAAATCTAGAGAGTTGGATTAGCTTATAGGAACCTTACAGTCTTCATTAAAATATATTAAAAAGAGCGTTTGGAGTCTGATGTGTCTTCATAGATAGCAGTGAAAATTACAATTAGTGAACATTATTTTGGCAGAGCAAGCCATCAAGTGGAATTTTGCCTTCACAGCTGTTATACATGTATGTGTATTGAAGCACGCTGTAATGCTTAAATGTCATATCCCATTATCTTTTTAACTAAAGTGACTAATAATGTAGTCTTGAGTGTTTTATGCAAGGAGACAGTTTTTTTGTGTTTGAGATAGTGTTGCCATTGAGTTGTCATTTCATTTGAGTAGAATTTTAGGGTTTGCATATGATACTGTGTTCAGTACTACATACGAAAGCTAATGTCTTCTCTTTCATCTTATAACATGAATATTGGATGAGTATTTTAGAACGTAAACAGTGTAGTTTAGGCATTTCCAGTTCTGAATATCATTAAATTCATTTGTTTAAGAAGTACAGTAATACCTTGGTTTGTGAGCGTAATTTGTTCTGGAAACAAACTACTCATATTGAAAGACACTGCTTGTTGACCAAGTTAAAAGTGTATTAGAAATGTTTGCTTGTCTTGTGGAACACTCACAAACCAAGTTACTTGCAATTCAAGGTTTTACTGTATTTTATAAGTGTTATCAGTACCCCATGAGGTAAATACTATTATCCCCATTTTGCCTATAAGGAAACAGAAGCACTCATGAGGAAGCTGAGATATTAAATCACTTGACCAAAGTCACACAAGTAATAAGTAGTAGAACTGGGATTTGAACCCAGTCATACTGGCCCCAGAGTCTGTACTTTGCCCGCTGTGTTTTGCTACTTTTCCAATGGCAGTGTATTATTAGTTTGTTGTACATCAAACATATTGTCTTGCTTTTGGGATGCTAGCAAGTATAGAGGACTGCTGACAGCACTAGTGAATGAGATAAAAATGACAAATGTGGCTTTATGTGATTCCATGTAGTCATATGATCACAGACTCTAGAGGCGGCTTAGCAAGCTAACTGTATAAAAATAACTTGTCCACATGTAAACAGCTCCTATTTAGTTGTTTTTCATTAGCACCAAAAAGTACTTCAGGGCACACCAATTGCTTACTGACTTCTGCAACTAAAGAATTCTGTTGTGAATAGCAATGAGCCCTGTGGAGAGAGGGGGTTGTGTTTTTGGTCCTATGGAACTTCATTTACACGTTGGAGAAATTTTAGGAGCTTCAGTAGGAAACTGCAGCTTAAATTAGCCCATGTTTCCTAGGAAGTTGATACAGCTTTTCTCCCTGCCCCGCCCCCCCCCCATTGTTGAACTTGATCTGGTCTTATAAATTTCTTCACTGTTAATACTGTGTTGTTCAGAAGTCTCAAATTAAAGCAGTCCTCCAAAGTTAGACCATATTGTCGTTGTCCATCTCCTGTCTGCTTAAGAATGATATGCAGTGCATGGGACTGTATTTCTAGTATAGTTGATATAGAAATTTCTTACCTACTTCGGAGCATTTCTTGATTGCTGTGAAAATGCTTTAAAAAACCATTTAAAAAATAATAATGGTTTTGTGCTGCAGAATGAAATGTAGAGTTTAAAAACCAGGTTTTTAAAAACAGCATCTAGATTGATGTGATGAATGATTTATTTAAAATATCTTATTCAATTTTTTAGAAATTTTAGAATTTAAAAAGCATTTAGAAAATACTAGAGACATTTGCATCTCTGAGAATTATTTTGGTGTAATTTAAGTGTGTATAAATCACTCAGTGAATGGATTTGTAAAAGAATTGTTTAAAGTAGATTGGATATCATGAAATTTCACATGTCAAATTCTTTTTCATTTCTAAGCATGACTTAAGACTTGATCTTCAGTTGTTTATCTTCTAATTCTGTTTCCTTATTTTCAGTCTGACATAGAACTATTCGTGAACAGGCTTGACTCAGTGGAATCTGTTCTTCCTTATGAATATACGGCGTAAGTTTTTCAGATTGGTTTTTATATAAAATTTTGTGACATCAGAATTTTGTACATTTGGAACTTTATTTTCTCCACAGTTATGGATAAATTCACGTGCATTAAAAAATGTACAGGACCTGAAGACATTTTTAAATGGGTATTTTTTATTATTAAAATGTGAAATGTGATCTTTTTATGTCACTTCGCGGTACAACAGAAGCACCAGCTGAAAGAATGGATTTCCACTTTCATCTGGTTGGACAAAATGCCATTTTGTTTTCTTTAAATTTTTTAATAATTAAAAAACACACATGTTTAAACAAAATCCTTATGTCCCACATCATCAATCCCAACAAATAATTAACGTCTGCTCCACATTTTTTTCTCTGCATACTCTAATGTACATAACCACATTTATACATTTTTGTTTTCAACAAAAGTAGGTTCAGACTATATTATATTTGATTTGCCCCTTGTTTTTCTTCCTTTGTCTATTGTGGGTATCTTTTCATGTTAATACACAACTTCCTCAGTCTTTTTAGTAGCAGTTTATTATTCCTTTGTAGAGATTGGTTAGAGTCCATGTATGATTTGTTTCACTATTTGTGAACATTTGATTATATCCATCTTTTGATTTTATAAAGATGCAGCATGAGTATCCTTTATTCACCATATTGGGTGTAAAACATAGTTCTTAAATTTTAGTTGGCTTCTAAATTTCTCTGGTATCTAAGAGTTTTGAAAGAAAATATGTTTATTGTAGAAAAAAAGCACACACACAAAAAAGTAACACTATCCTGTAAGAATCTATATGCCTAAATATGTATGAGAGGAGAATACAAAATTCATGAATGGATGGAACATGATTTATATAACTGTTGGAAACTTGAATGATTTTCTAGTTTTTGTTTTATTGTATAAACAAACATATCTTCTTACGTCTTTGTGGATATTCCTGGGAAAACTCAATGGATCTTTTACATCCAGTAGATAGTCTTCATTTGGGCCTTCCCAGTCCTATTTTTTTTATCACCCGAGATTCATCTTCCTCTAGGAATCTGACTAATCTGTAGCCATTACTGCGCTGGTCTCAAGTACTCCCATATCATTCCAAGGTGAACACAGAACTGTCCTTTAATTTTCTGTAACAGAGCTGAAAGTAGACTACAATTGTTAAAACTTTGTTAAAATCTGATTAGTAACACAAGGGAATAACACCACAGAGATAAACTTACAGCTGACTGGTGATGAGTTTTCCACAGATCTGTTCTCAGAGGGTCAGTCTTCTCATATTGGGATGTGTTGGCCAGTGTGTCAGGATTAGGCAGAAACCCAGGGAGTATTGGCACATCTCATTATTTGTAAATAACGTGTCATTATTAAGTAAAGATTTGGATTAGAAAGTTATGAAAGGAGATAAGTTATATAAAATTAAGAGTATTATTTAGAAATCAAAACATTCTAAGACATAATTTTTAGATGTTTCATGTTTTTTGGGGGGAGGGGGTGATGTGGTACATGGAACTTGAGTATGAATCTGTTTCTTACTCATCTAATGGAGCTGCTGGAATGGTCAGTACCTAATCTGCCCTCAGGATTGCCTAGGGGTTTGTTATTTCATTATTTCCATTTATGTTTAAAAACTTAAATATTTTTCCCCCCAGGTTTGATTTTTGCCAAGCGTCTGAAGGAAAACGCCCATCTGAAAATCTTGGTCAGGTATTATTTGGGGAAAGAATTGAACCTTCACCATATAAGGTTTGTATTCAGTATTATATGTTATTTTAGTTGCTTTTTTTTTCCCCTTACAGAAAGTCCTGCGATAACTTGGCCCTCATATCTAAGGAGGAATTCATTTCTCTTTTGCATCCAGTAATAGTTTCTTAAAGTTGCAGTTTAGAAGGATCCCTCCCCTTCTCACGATTATGTCATGGATGAGTTTGTCTTAACGAACATTCATACAGCCAGTGTTATAAATGATAAAGCGGTAGCCTAAAGGACAGAACTCCCACCCCCTGCCTCACCTTACGCAGAGGCCTGGCACGCAGCCCTTGGGCATGAGGAGTTGCCCCAGCTGCTCCACATCTCTCTCCTCCCCACTTTGGGAGCAGTATCCATAGTGTTAGCAAATACAGCACTCCTTGGACTCCATCATTGGTTTTTGGGAAGCTAACCTCTATTTTGACCATTGAAAGTGTATTTGGAACATCTTTGATATTTTTTAGGACATAAGTTAAACCAATCTAAGCACAATATAAGATATTCTCTTCAATATGTTTACTTTATCATCACCCAAAATGATTCTACCTTTTAAATCTAGTATCTTTTAAGCCTGCTATCCTTCTGCATTTTATAGTTCCCTATTCATTTTATATCGTCTCTACTGCACAAAGAATAATGATCTCTCCCTTTTAGAAAAATGAAACTAGTTTATAATAATAATAATGTATCACCACATAAAAAAATTAAAGTGTACAGAAGAATATAAAATGAAAAGTCTGTGTGTGCCTCCCACTCAGTAACACATAATAGTTCGTTGTTAATCTTTCCTGACATTTTCCATGCACTTACAAGCATATATAAATAAAATTAGATTTATTATTTATATTTTAACATATCCTGAACTGCGCATTTTTTCTTTAACTCTTTACCCTGGCACCTGTCCACATGAGCACTCCTTTTTTTTTCTTTTTTTTTATTAGTTTCAGGTGTACAAAACAATGCAATAGTTATCCTTCTCACCCCTCACAAAGTGACACCCCCCTCCCCCCGAGCGCTCCTTCTAATGGCTCGATCCCAAGTTTTATTCCCCAGCCTGACAGCGCCCCTCTCTTGGTTTCACATCCTTCTCTTCTGTGGCTTAGACCGTGTGGTTACCTGCCTTCCCTGCTTTCTCACTAAACATCCTCGTGCATCTCCATTGGCACTTGATTACATTAAGCATCTGTCCAGCGAATCCCCAAGCCTCGATTAGTCCCACTAGCCCTCTTACTCTCTCCAACACTAACCCTACACCGAAGCAGTGGGAGAAAAGACACGATTGTGCAAGTGTAATCCACTACAAGTTTATAGTTTTCAACCGTGTGTCCTCTTAAAATATTCTAACTTGAGACTTTCTACCCTAAAGAGACCAGTAATTTTAAAAAATGTTCACTGACAATAGATGTGAAGTCTAATGGGATAAAGTCACTGGGAAAGGAAGAACTCAAAGTGTATGGACATTGGTAGAATTGTGTGGGGCAAGCATATTTGTGTAACATCCCCCTGATGTAATATTTTGAAAGATTACTTTGGAAGTTATTGCATTCTTTTTATAGCAGAGAGTGATTTTCAGACATATTTATTAAATTGTACTATTAAAATACTCGTAAGGTCCCTCAGCCTCATTTTCTGTTTGTTTATTCCTTGGCCTTGAGAAATAATGGAAGAGGGGAAGAGCATTAGTAACACATTCACTGAACTTGAGGGACAGCAGGAGTCTCTAGTAGTAAACAACCGTTAGCAGCAGTAAACAGAGGAAAGGCTAACAAAATATTCAAACCCAGGAGAAGTTTTGTTCCTTTGGGGTAGACTTGAAAGGCAAGTAAGATCCTATTCATGGTACATTTATTTACGTGTAAAGACTATGGGTTGCTCATGCAAAAGACCCTTCTTTTGGGCTCATGCTTTTCAGATATAATTTTGTCTTAAGAGTTGAGGTAAAATAGAAGAACAGAAGGAGTATTTTAAAATGGAGGAAGATGTGCACCTATGCACCTAACATTTTCTATGAGTTTCCTAGAATTTTTTGGATCAGGATCTGTGCTAAAACAAATTCTTTAAACCCTATGCTTAAAGAGACCGAGCAGGCATTTGTTAAGACGAAGGCATAGGAAAACAAACATGGTGCTAAGAGATCAGATTTTTTTTTTCCAAGCCAGCCATAAATGTTTTGACTTATATTTTTTGGTTTTGATTCAGTATTGATTCCTTGTCCTTTATTTTTAAAGAATTTTGCCTTATTTTAGATCTGCAATAAAAACAGTGGTAACAACAAAACACAACCCCAAATCTATTTTGCTTTTATCTGTGACTTCATTTGAAGTCAGAAAAACAACAGTGCAAGACATTGTGTGTGTTATGTGAAACTGGAGGCTACATTTCATAGGATCATAAAAATCTCATCTCAAGCCTAACCTCTCATATTCACTCATTGGCTCAGTTCACACATCTGTTGAATGCCTTTCGTGTGCCAAGCACTATGGTAGGTGTGGAGTACAGCAGTGAACAAAACAAAATCTCTGCCCTGGTGGATCTTACATTCTGATGAAGAGAAGGAAACAAAATGATTACTAAAATATATAGTGTATCAATTGCTCATGTAAAACTATTGAAAATAAATCAGGGAATGTGGTTGGAGAATTTATAATTTTAAATAGGACTGAGAAAGTCTCACTGAGAAGGTGACATTTGAGCAAAAGACGCGAAGCAAGTAAGGGGAGTGTGCCATGCGAATATCTGAGGAGAAGGTGTTCTAGCTAAAGAGAGCAGCAAATGCCAGAGTCCCAAGATGTGAACTTCCTGGTGTATTCAAGGTACAGAAAAGAAGTTGGCATAACTCGAGCAGGTGAGCAGAATAGTAGGAAATGACAGCGGAGAAGTAATGGGAGCTGCCACCAGGTGGCAGGATGGCTCAGCTAAAAAAAAAAAAAAACAGTAATGGGACCACATCATATAGTGACTCATAGGCCATTGTAAAGACTTCAGCCTGTACATCTGAGCCTTGGAGAGTTTTGAGTAGGCTTAGATTTTAACAGGATCACTAGTGTTGCTGTGTTGAGAATGGACCGTGGGAGAGAAGGGGAGAAGCTGGGAGACCTGACCCTTAGGGAGACTCTTGGACCTGATAGTGTCTCAACCATGGCGATGGAAGGATAGGGGTTGTGAAGCGGTTAGAATCTCAGAAACTGGCTATATTTTGAAGGTGGGGTCACCAGAATTTGCTGAGGGATGGGATGTGGAGTGTGGAATTGCTGTTTCTTAAGATGAGAAAATCTGTGGGAAGAGTAGGTTTGGGAGGAATGCGGAAGAGTTAGTTTGGGACATGGTAAGTGTGAGGTGTTTATTAGGCATCAAGAAAGGGATGTTGAGTTAACAGTAAAATACATGTGTCTGAAGTTTGGAGGAGAGGTTCAGCCTAGATAGGTATATTTGAGAATCATCAGTGTGTAGATGATACTGAAAGCCAGGAATTGATGAGACCCCTAAAGGGAGTGGGTATAGATAGTGAAGAGAAGAATTCCAAGGACTGAACCTTGGGACACTCAGTGTTAATAGGTCGGGATGATAAGGAAGACTCAGTAGGGAACTACATTTTAGGATTACTGGGAGGATTACACGAGGTGATAAATAAGCGTTTATTATTGTGGTTAAACGTTATCTTTAGGCTTGTTATTTTCCTCACAATTGAATGCACAATTGACTTGCCTAAACCCAGTGAACACTGGATTGAGGTGGAAGATTTGCCACTTTTGGTGTAACAATGTCTATTTCTGCTTAATTTGACACCTTTTGTATGTATACTTTCGTTTTTTAATTTCCACTCTTTAAAAGGGAACCTATAAGGTTTATATAAGTTTAAAGACATTAAATAATTGCATGAATATTGCTGTTAACAGAAGTAGCAATGCAGTCAGAACAAAACTTTTGGCTGACAGGTGGCAGCAGTGGGCTACACTTGAAAAATTCCTCAGTGATGCACAGAAACTGGCTTAGGGATTTTATAAATAATGTACAAAAGAATGGACTGGTTGGGAGTGAAACATTCGCAGGTTGGCTTTTTATTTTACCCCAGGTAATGAATTTCAAATTTATTAAGTATACAATTATAGACTATATATAGTTAGTAAATTACAGCCTTCAGAACACTAGGAAATACATTTTTTATATTAAGATGTAAATGGGTCTTGATAAAGTAAACCTACATTATATAATATGCTGTGAATATCATTATTACTATACACATGAAATAAGTCCTAGACTCCAAAATTGGAGGAATCCTTAGTTTTTTAAATTTGGTTTAAAAACTTATTAATTTTTGTTTCAACTTTACTGTTTGTTTCAACTTTATTATTAAATAAGATGCTGAAAATTGGCAATTATTTCAAACATGAGTAAAAAGGAATCACATTTACTCTGATTTTAGGCATCCAAATTTGACTACTTGTATCATCACAGTGTATGTTATTCACTGCTGAATCGCCATCATTTGGCACATAGGGGGCACTTAACAAATATCCACCAAATGAGTATATGGACATAAAAACTTGTCTTCTTATTACTAGAAAGCCTTCAAATCCATAATTTCCAAAGTACTACCAGGAGACATTACTATAGAGAGACTGATGTTCCATTTTGTTCTACATGTGGGGGTTTTTCCTTCCAGGACTCGTTTACATTTAGAAGGTGGGCCGATTGAAATGATCAGAAATAAAAATAAAAAACTGTTACTTATCAAAAGAAAAATTGATAAGTTTTTTAAGAAACAGAATAAGATTGAAATTTAAATCTGAGCTATGAGCAATTTAAAAATGTTTGTTATCAATATTAATGTACTTAAGTAATTAATGAGACCAGTACTTTTATTCTATTTATGGTATAGGTATGAAGGAATGGGATATTTTTTCTTAACTTGCTTTCCACTTTATTTTAATACAGTTTACATTTAATAAAGAGGAGAAGTGTAAGCTTGTTTGTACAAAAACATACCATACAGAGAAAGCTGAAGACAAACAAAAGCTAGACTTCTTGAAAAAAAGCATGCTACTGAATTATCAGCATCACTGGTAAGACATGGAGATTTTGGCTTTTTGGCTTTTTCCTTTTCAAGATGAAACCTGTTTCACTGAATGTATAAATAACTTCATAAACTCTATAGCAAATTAATTGATTTCCCTTTTTTGTTACCAGTATTAACAGGAAGTAGTGACTTTCTTGCCAGAGGATTACTACAGTTAACAGCTTGAAGTGTTATCTTTTAACTGATATCTGGTACTTGTTTTGGTACATAGAGCACTTCTTTTATTCATACATAGTTAACAGGAGCATATTTACACTTTGGAGAAAGTATCTGGATCAATCTAGGAAAATACTGTTATTTTATACTTGTAGGCCATGAGAAATACTATTGGAAAACAAAATTTAGCTTTTGTTTTGATATTTGATAAATAGAATCTACTTCAAATAAATACATTTTATATAACCTTTTTATTTTACAAACGTATTATAACATTAACAAGGTTGTTAACAGTTTGTCATAATCAAAAAGCATTTAAAACTACTTCTGCTTCCAAAGTACTATTTACTTATACAATATTCAAACAGAATATTAAAAAAGGATCTCAAAAATCCAATTTTTCAAGTATAATTATTATTCTTATAAATGTTTGCCACCAAATGTCTGTATTCTCTGTGGGGGTCATGGCTTACACATGTTTTGCCTTTTCTAAAAATTACAAGGTGTTGGAGGTGGTGAACAGGAAGACTATCTTCATGTACTTCCTCTTTTTTTTTTTAAGATTTTATTGGGGAATTCGGGGAGGGGAACAGCTCTGGGTAATCGGGGAAAGGGGAAAAGACAAGATGCTGTTGTTTTGTTCATCATTCTAGTTGTGGAGGATGTTGCTTCACTGGCCTATGTTGGTATTATCATTGCGCTCTTCCTGGGTGAGGCAGATCGGTCGCCAGCCTCTGGACGGCCGCTCACAGCAGCTCTTGGCAGCTCACATCGGCTGCCAGCTGCTCATGCTGGCTGCCAGCTACACGTGGTAGCTTATGGCAGCCCACTACAGCAGGGGCTGCCGCCTATGCCGTCACTGGTGACTCATGGCAGCCCAATTCCAGGCTGAGCTGCCGTTCACCATCCCAACTGCGGAGGGCAGCGTCACCGGCCCATGTGGGATCTGAACCAGGGCCCTGCCGCTCAGAGCCGCGCCCCAAGCCAGCTCCCAACCAACGCGCCACTCGGCCGGCCCTGGCTGCAATTTTCTGAGTGTATTGTGGCAACATGGGTTATTCCATTCTGATCTGAAATTCTGGGCGTTTAATTAATTTATTAGGATAATGAGTTATTAATAAATGAAGCTTAATTAATAGAAGTGTTTCAAATGGAGTCCATAGAGGGTAGAGGGAAATAATGGAAAGGAGTCCTTAATGGCAAAAAATTGTGGCCAGTTATTCAACCTTTATCTTTTGAGTCCTCTTCTTATACTCTTTTTCACTATAGCACATTGAAAAATATGGTATTTAATATTTGTGTTATAAATTCAAGTAGCTACCACTCTCTAACGTAGCAAGGCAGTAATTGAAAATTATGTTCTTTAAATTTTCTTACATTTATTTCCAAGGATTTATTTTGTTTTTTTAATGCTTCCTATTACCAGGAAAAGGTTATTGAGTCAAGGCATTATATAAATGATAAATTTAAGATGTTTGCTTTTAAAAAAACCTAATTGCTCCCTAATTTCTCATTATGTAACTAGCACTATAATTCTTATGTAGTACTTTCTTTGTTATGGTAGCATAAAGGTATTATACTTCACATATTACTAGTATACACTCATTGATTGAACTTTATTCTCTAAAATATTAAAGCAACTAACTAATTTTTTAGGCCTCCAGAAAATCTGAATTATTTATATAGCATTGCTTTCATGCTTCTAATATTTTATAGGTTTTTTTTCATGGAAACCACTAGCCTGCTGGTTATAATAATAAGCAACTTAATAGTTTAGGTGATTCTAAAATTTGGTACATTGGGTACTATTAAATAGCATTTAAATGTGACGAGACATGTTTTATTAGGTCATTAATGTACATCTTGGGTGACTATAAAATCATAATTTTACTGCCTAAGGCATATATTAATTAACAAATAAAACATGCCCTGGAGTGTCGTCTTATGACTGTAATTCAGCTGGTATATTTTTAGTAATTTTTTTTTATTTGTATCCTGCAGCGTGCTCTGGGCACATGGGACCACATGCTCAGACTTTAATGTAGTTATGTAGCACTACAGAACTTTATTTCTTACTTTTATCCTTTTTTGTTTAAAAAAATTCTTTTTCACTGTACAACTTGAAAGATTTGTTTCTGTAGCTTTATTGCAGTATTTCTTTTAGACATAAGTTGGATTTACACAGTTTTAATAAATAATACTATAGTTTTTACTTTTTCACTGGTCTTTAAGTTGAATATTTTCCCATATCTTGCAATTATATTCTTTTTATTGAATTTCTGAGTAATAAAAGACATTTGCATCTATACTGTTGCATAAAATGTTCCCAAACAACTATTAATGGATGTATTGCTTTGCACCTATTTAGAGCTTTTGAGTGTACTGCTAAAGGTAAATTGTACTTAGGTGTCTAGATAATGATATTGTTAAATTAGCAATTGCAATAAATTAATTAATAAACTCCCTTTCCTACATACATTTATAGTTTCAGCCATAAAGTTTTTTTTCTTCACTAATAATGCTATTAGTGTAGCATAATGCTATTACTTATGAAATACCACATTTCATCAAAATTCTTTGGTTGTAGTTTTGACATCTTAAGGCATTTATAGACATTTAAATTTTATGAAATGACACATACTTGGGCAGTAATTCTTAGTCATGTTTGGTGATTTATAACTTGATTTTTATTTCTGTGAATAGGATTGTGGATAATATGCCTGTAACATGGTGTTATGATGTTGAAGATGGTCAGAGGTTCTGTAATCCTGGATTTCCTATTGGCTGTTACATTACAGATAAAGGCCGTGCAAAAGATGCCTGTGTTATTAGTGTAAGTTTGTGACAAGCTATGCTTTTTAAAAGACGGTATTTTGGTGGACGTATTTAGTTTTCACCCAGACAAAAATTGTTATATTCATCAAATGAGTACAATTCAGATGTTCTGAAGCACAATACTGAGATCTTAAGGCTAAACCAGATTAGCAGTGTACAAATTTAACTCTAGAATTACAATAATTCAGTTCAACATTTACTGAGAGTGTCTTATTATATGCTGAGCACTATACTAAGGGCTGGGACTTTGTATGTTCTGACTCTGTTAAAAATTAGATTAATATCTTACATATAAAAGTATGTAAATAGTAGAGTGCCGAAAGGATATCATTGTAAATCCATGAAATTTGTATTGCACATTTAAGGTTATAAAATATCGTATTGCCAAAGTTTAGTATTATATCTGTTTTTAAAAAGGCATCTGTCTTTGGGACCATAATTTTATATTTAAACACAGAATAATAAAGTGAGGACATTAACTAGAAGGTAATTAAAATTTGGAGGAATATATATTAAATTTTATGTAATCAGGTCACCCTGATTTAATGTCTTAATTAATATGACCTGGTAGTAGAAGTTAGCATGAGCTTGATCATGAAACTGGTAATAACAGTTAATGCTTTTGTGAGAATTGACCCAGAGACACTTGAATACTTTAGGTTATTGGTTTAGTCTAAAGTTATAAACTTCCATAGTGGAGAAGTGTTAAAATATATAAGATTAGTATGCTTATAGCATGTAATATTTAAAAAAAATTTTTTTTGTAAGTGAAAAGCTAGAAAATAATAGATTTTTTTTTTAAATAGGCACTTAAGTTTTATGTAAGAATTAAAACATTAAAGAAGTATAATTTGTACTTCTGCCAATTAGTTTTGGCTTATAAAGTTTAAAACTTAAACATTTTTTATGGGGAAGGATTAAAATCCTGTTCAATCTTAAATTTCTCTACTTGTTGCAGCTTATTTTAAAGTTTTATGTTTTGACTCTTGTATAGCCAGTTTTCTGTCTTTAACTTTAAGTTCTGTTCCGTAGTCAGAATTCCATGAAAGAGATACATTTTACATCTTCAACCATGTTGACATCAAAATACACTATCATGTTGTTGAAACTGGATCCATGGGAGCAAGATTAGTGGCTGCTAAACTTGAACCAAAAAGGTAACAGACAGTTATACAGACAGATAAGAAGTAAATAAATATAAGTGAAATTTAGGCCCAAAGAATAAATATTTTGGGCCAAATTAACTTTTTTCTTAATCAGTACTCTGGCATATAATCTGGTGATTCGGGATTGACTTTACTAAAACTCCCTTTAGCATGACTTGTTACTACGTTGTGGACTATCCAGAGAAACCACACAAATACTTTTTCCCTTTGGTGGTGAAGTGGTCAAGCCAATGGGGCTTTTTTTTTTGTTTTTTTCAGTCAGGAAGTTTTGACAGCTTTTCCATGTCAGCTTGGAAAAGTGGTTGAGACAGTGTTCCCTTTTACAGTGGAAAAGCATTGCCTCTGATATTTGCAACTTGACCACCTAACAGAGACCCAAATGAGCTGATTAGTGCTGTCATTTTGAAAATTTTCATGCAGTGTTAGTTAGATGCCAGTATGTGACAAGTCATTGAATGGTCATCTCTTCAAGCTATCAGTTTTTAGTGTGAAAGACCTATCATTTATTTGTGAGATCCTTTTTTGATTGAATATTCCATTTTTTCTGTGACTCCTCTCCCACCATTAAATTAGCCAATTTCTCATGTCACTTGTGTAAAGAAATGCATGCCATAATAAGATGGCAGTTAATTTAAATTCCCTCAGTGTTTTTTTATATATTTTTTAAATTATTTAATGCTTTTCAAGTACAATGTTTTCAAAAGTTTGTCTCTAATTTTGAGTAATAATGTGTACACATTCTTATAACTAAGCCCATTATTTATACAAAGTAAATATTTGTATTAATATCAAGTGTGACATGAATAATTTCACCTTTGGCTATCAGTAGCATTGTGAAATATGTACAGAATCTCTAACCTTTACTCCATTTTAAAAAATTATACCTTATCAGCATCTTGCCAAAATGTTTCTTCCCACAGCTTCAAACATACCCATATAGATAAACCGGACTGCTCTGCAGCACCCCCCATGGATATAAGTAACAAGGCTTCTGGGGAGGTCAAAATTGCCTATACTTATTCCATTAGCTTCCAGGTAAGTTTGTTTTAATCTTTAGTATATCTCAGAAATTGATTTTAAATGCATACTACTTAAGCTGATTAAAATACTAATGATTAAGTTTGTCAAATATATAAGCTTTTAATGAGCTGATTTTTGGAATAGTTTGTCAGTACACCAGGCACCATAATCATATGCGAGACTAAGTCTTCATTTAAATAAGAGATACAGGAAATTGGAGAAACTGAGACTGAGTAAGTGTTATAAGTGATCTATGTAAGACAAAAGGTAGAAAATAGACATAGGGATGGTATGAATATGTCAAAGATACACGCAACAAGCATTTGGGAAAACCACCATTTTTAAATCTGTATTTGAGTATAAACTTAAGTGGAGAGTTTCTTGATGGTATATATGATTTGTATAGGTTATTAGGGAATTCAGGGGAAGGTTTTCATTAAAGGAGAAGTTTCTTAGGAAAGTGAAAGTTCATTTTATGAGAATCTCAGGCAGTATTCCACCTCTATTTTTAATAAACTATCGTGGCAATCTAATGTAGTTGTGACATTTACTATCCCCATATAATGTGTAATTTTGCAAGCCTAGTGCAGTAAATAGTAATATATTTCTTTCTAGGTGTTAAGAACTCAGTGTAGGTGACATCTGCCAGATGTTCAGTGTACCTAGGTTATGACTGGTCTGGTTAAGTGTCTCATAGGTACAGATAGACGTCAAAACAAATAAGTTATTCTACTCAATCTTCTGAAAAATTAAATATAGAGCTCTAAATTTAGACATCTAAAATGAACCTTTACTGTTTAAAATTTAAAGCAATACATAAAAAACAAATTAACTAGGTGCCTTTAGGAACTCGTACTGGTTTTATTTACTGCTTAATCTTATCCTGATTTTCCTGAGTTGTGAGGAATTGAATCTCATGACTAACCCTCATTATGATCATGAGGAATGGCGTTTGTTGACTGATGGGAAGGAAGGTCAAGCTGTGAATGGAAATTTTTGAATTCTTAACATACTCTGTCAGCAAATGGTTATTTAAAGAGTTTTCTTTGTTTTGTTTGTAATCCCTCTAGGAAGATAAAAATATCAGATGGGCATCTAGATGGGACTATATTCTGGAATCTATGCCTCATACCCATATTCAGTGGTTTAGGTAAGACAAGATTAATCTGCTTTATGTTCTGTACTCTTCTACTCCGTCCCTTTCAACATCTCATTCACTCTCTAATCCTCTCCAGTTACTTAAAAATCTGACGTTTTGAATCGGACTTGGATTCAGTCCTGGCTTTAAGTCACTGATTGTGAATCAGGCCAGATCACCCAATTTTTCAGAGTATTTCTTTATCTAGAAATACCTGCTTCATAGGACTGTTCTCAGGATTAAATGAGATAATTAAAAAGAGCAACTGAGCACCTTACCTGGCATGGAAGAATGCTCAGTAAACGAGCTGCTGCTGCTGTTAGGACTATGTATTATTTTCTCTTAAAAGCATCACTCAAAACTTTTATCTGGAAAGCTGCTCGTGGTGCTATTACTCTCCTTTTCCTACTTTGGTGACTATCCTTTTGACACATTAATTTACTGTTCTTCAGTAAATTCTTGCGGGACACATCAGTCCTTTGTTGATTCTTGCAGCTTGTGTTGTACTGATTTGGGCATAGTATTGTGTTATTGAATAGTGTTGACCATGGACAAAAAAAATTCTAGTTCTCAACAGACTACAAAACTATTAAGTATATAAAGTGATGTATCCACTACAGGGACACATGGCAGAACACAGTTCATTGAATTTGTTGGACTTTAGGTCAAATTTTGATTTTGAAAAATGCTGGGGGTTTTTTGTTTGTTTGTTTGTTTTAAAGATTTTTATTGGGGAATTGGGGGAAGGGGAACAGACAAGTTGCTGTCCTTTTGTTCTTCAGTCTAGTTGTGGAGGACGTTGCTTCACTGGCCCAAGTTGGCACCATCATTGCGCTCTTCCCGGGCGAGGCAGATCAGTCGCTGGCTTCTGAACGGCCGCTCACGGCGGCTGCTGGCTGCTCACGCTGGCTGCTGGCAACCCACTGTCACAGGGGCTGCAGCCTATGCCGTCGCCGGCGACTCACAGCAGCCCAGCTCCAGGTTGAGCTGTTGTTCAGCATCTTAGCTGTAGAGGGCAGTGTCACTGGCCCTCATATGTGGGATCCGAACCGGGGCCCTCTAGCGTCCCAAGCCAGCTCTTAACCAACCAATGTGCCACTCGGCCGGCCTGAAAAATGGTGTTTTAATGTTACTCAGTAAATAGTTTTTCAAAAGATTAAGCTACAGATTAATCCTGACATGCTTATTTCTACAGCATCATGAATTCCCTGGTCATTGTCCTCTTCTTGTCTGGGATGGTCGCTATGATTATGCTACGGACACTGCATAAAGATATTGCCAGATATAATCAGATGGATTCTACGGTGAGTGAAACATTTGAACTGTTCTTTGGTCTTCCAAGAATAGTCTTTATTTTTTCTTTGGAAAAGGCTTAAATAATAACTTTAGACAGACTTTGCTTTTAAAACATTCTTCTTAAAGGTTATCCCGAATTTGGAACTAGCGAACAATACAGTCAAGATGGCTAAAGGTGATGCCAAGGAACCAAAGGGCAAGATGTCTGCTTATGCCTTCTTTGTGCAGGCGTACAGAGAGGAACACAGGAAGAAAAACCCAGAGGTCTCAATCAATTTTTCAGAATTTTTCAAGAAGTTATTTGAGAGGTGGAAGACAATGTCTGAGAAAGAGAAGTCTAAATTTGATGAGATGGCAAAGGCAGATGAAGTACGCTATGATCAGGAAACGGAGGATTGTGGATCAGCTGAGGGAGGCAAGAAGAAGGACCCTAATGCCCCCAAAAGGCCACCGTCTGGATTCTTCCTGTTCTTTTCAGAATTCTGCTCTCAGATCAAATCCACAAACCCTGACATCTCTATTGGAGATGTGGCAAAGAAGCTGGGCGAGCTGTGGAGTAACTTAAGTGACAGTGAAAAGCAGCCTTACAACAACAAGGCGGCAGAGCTGGAGGAGAAGTGTGAGGAGGATGTCGCGGACCGTGAGGCTGAAGGGCAGCTCGATGGCACAGAGGGCCCCACTAAAGTTGCTTGGACAAAGGTGGAAGAGGAAGAGGAAAAAGAGGGGGAAGGGAAAGGGGAGGGGGAGAAGGAGGAAGAAAAGGGGGAGGAGAAAGGGGGAAGGGGAGGAGGAAGGGGGAGGAAAAGGAAGAGCAGGGGAGGAGGAAGATGAATAAAAAACTTCATCTGTCTCCTTGTAAATACCTTAGAGTAGGGGAGCGCCACCACAGACACAGCTCTACCTGAGACGTGTCTGTCTCCCTCGTGAGGATTAGTTACACAGTTGGATCATGATCATACAGTAGTAGTCTCTCAGAGTGCTCTAGAAATTGTCAGTGGTCTACGCGAAATGGCCACAGGTGTCTGGAGCACCCTGAAAGTTGTACATCTTTCTAAACAGTTTAAAAAGGAAAAGGCTCTTGTGTTCTCCTCACTCTGTGCATTTGCTGTTGGCGTGACAAGGCATTTAAAGATGTTTCTGGCATTTTCTTTTTTTATCCATAAGGTGGTATTAACTTTATGGCTATTGGCTAGAAATCCTGAGTTGTCAACTACATATATCTATTTATAAAAAGAACAAAACAACCGAGACAAGCTCTTGATGCTCCTTGCTTAGGATTGAGGCTGTGGGGAAGATGCCTTTTGGAGGGGCCACAGCTCAGGGCATGCACTGTGAGGCTGGACACTGCAGGAGACATCCATTTAGCTTCAGGTTGTCTTGTGTTTGTATATAATGACATAGCTGCCGTTGTTAGCTGTGGAATAGGGAGGTCAGCTGGCATGAGAAGTGTTTGGATCTTTTTTAGTTCAGTGCGGTAGTTTTAAACAAGCTGTAGAACTCTTCATTGTCAGCAAAATGAAGAGCCACTGCATCAATGAAAGTTCAAGAACCTTCTGTACTAAACACAATTGGCAACATTTTTAAATTTTATTTTTATGTTTAGAATGCTGAAATGTTTTTGAAGTTAAATAACAGTGTTACATTAATAAAGTTATCCTGAATTTACATTTTCAAGAAAATGATCCTTAAGAATTGGCTCTAGAAACTTAGTCACTACAGCATTCAGAGCTGAACTGTTCACAACCTCATCTTTGTCAGTAGATTGGTGCAGAATGGGTATCAGTGCACAGCTCCGGTTCTGTCCTCTTTTTTCATTTATGTGCTGTCTACTCTATCAGATTCTCCATTCCCAGCATACACCAAGTTTGTGAAACAGCAAACTTGAATGGAATAACTCCCAAGCAATTTATATTTGTGTGTATATTTAATTTTTTAAAATTAATTTAACTGAATTTTTATCATTTCAACCATTTGGTATACTCAAAAGTAATTTAATGCCCCAATCTCATTTACTCTCAAACATTTTAAGTTACATAATGTTACACATTTTATACTTTTTTAGTTCATAGCAACTCTCGAACAAAATTTCCACAAGAATCATAGTGACTTGTAATAAAGACAAAAAACTCAGATTTTTATTGTTTTGGTTTTTTTTAAAGATTTTTTTTTTTAATTGGGGAATTGGGGGTAGGAACAGCGCTGGGGAATTGGGGGAAGGGGAACAGACAAGTTGCTGTCCTTTTGTTCTTCAGTCTAGTTGTGCAGGACGTTGCTTCACTGGCCCAAGTTGGCACCATCATTGC